GTGTTAACGCGGCCGAACGGGCAAATAAATAGCTCGTTATACGTACTCGTTACTTTAAAGAAATATTATATAATGCAAATTACACCATATATGAATTATACTAGCAGAGCCCGCGCCTTCGCCCGCGCTAAAACTACAAAACATCTCTAAAAAGGACCACATTTTTGTTTCATACGAACTTTCATCCCCTATTTTACCTTATGGGATGAATTTCGTAAAATGCTAAAACACGTATTTATTTAATTGTATTAATACCAAGTTTCAAACAATTCTGATCATAAATATTTTTTTGGGTTGTATTACAACGTGATTTCTCGTAGGAACGGGATAATCTCTCGCGGTAAAAAGTAGCCTATATCACTTTCCAGCCCTCCGACTATCTCCACATAAAAAATTACGCCAATCCGTCATTCCGTTTCCAAAAGAAGACAGGACATACATACAAACAAACAAACACACTTTTTTTTATATTTATAATATTATTTTGCAAATATGGATTAAAATATTATATTGTTGTTATTATATTATGTTTTAAATTGAAGGCATTGAAAATAACTTAAATATACTATGCGAGCTGTATCTACATCAGTAAGAATTAGAGTATTTTAAGAGTATTTTTTTACCGCGAACGCTGCAGAGCTGAGTCTACTCGCTAGCCCCTCAATATGGGGGCCCCACTGCAATTTCGAATCTATGATAATACCTAGGAATTTAGTGCGCTCTACCAGTTTTAACACTTCCCCATTTAATATTACACCATTACCAACAAGTTAAACATTAGGTGTTGAAATTTTTATTAATTTTGTATTTTATTATTTAACAATAAATTATTTAAATTAAACCAACGGACAACCTTTGAGAGAGCATTGTTTACATCTTCGTACATTAGTAAATTACATTTCACTTTAAAAATAAGTGAAGTGTCATCGGCAAACAATACTATTTCATGTTTGTCTTGTACAAAAAATGGCAAATCATTAATATAAATTAGTAAGAGAAAGGGGCCACGAATAGGCTATCTAATATCTATATCTAATGGAGCCCCAGGAGATCTCTTACCATTTACATCAACCTTCTGTATTCTATTATTTAAATACGAATTCAGAAGGTCTAGTGCCTTATTTCTAATACCATAATAAAGCAGTTTCCTGATCAGTGTTTCATGATGCACACAATCAAAGGCCTTGGATAAGTCACAGAATATCCCAAGTGCATCCTGTGACCCCTCCCAAGCCTCAAAAATATGTTTAACTAACTCAACACTAGCATCTGCCGTGGAGCGGCCCTTATGAAGTAGATTGTGTGCATTGAAATGCGTGAACTTTTGCTCGAGTGTGACTTTTTCAAAAAATTTGCAAAAACGTTAGCAGTGCCGAAATTAGTCTAAAATTATTAGGTACTACCTGATATAAAAATAGGAATGATTTTACTGTGTTTCAATAGATCATGAAACGCACCATGCTCTCTACGTCGCTATTAAGTTACTGATAGTACTGTAGTAGTAGTAAGATACTGATAAAAACATATATGTAGGTACTGTTTATTGTAATAATATATTTTTTCAAAGATTTTTGTTTCGGGAGGCTCCTTATATTTAACACATTTTTTTAAAATTTAACATCTGTATACTATTTAAATAAGCTTAGATTAAAAAAAAATAGAATTGAAAACGTAAAGTAAATGGCCCAATTGGTAGATGACACTACCATAGCTCGATATAATCTGAGCTTTCATGAGTCATGGATACGGAAAGCGCTCGGCCCACTTCACTCACACAGATATAACCGAATATTTTGTTACCTGCGCGGGAAATCGGGACGAGGTTATACGAGACCGAAAATGTTTAGTATCTTGAAATTAGTAAATAGGATTCGTGACCAAGTATAGGTATCCTATATACATAGATACAGCTCTCATATTTTTAGGTAAACTTCATGTAGGAAGCTATGCTTAATGTAATGCTTGTTTTTATATCAACTAGTACTTGGCCGCAGCTTTGCCAGCTTAATTAGCTATGTGTAATTAATTGCTCCGCTCCTAAAATTAACATTGCACAGCCTCTAACCTTCCTCGATAAACAAACTATAAAGTTATACAGTTAGCACCAGCTCCTCAGTTTTATATATAAGTTTCCAACTTCCAACACCTTTCTACCATTTCGGGAATTATTTTTTAAAAATCCTTTCTTAGCGGTCCTACTTCCTATGAGATTTCTCCTACCAAAGTTTTTGTCATTTATACCTATTTTTGGGGAAGTCGTGATTAAACAATCTCACAAATTATTTTGTAGTTTATTCAGTTATATTTACAATGTCAATAAATTATTTAAAAGTAAAAGAAATAGTGATAGTCCAGTAGGCAGTGGTAGCCCAGTGGTAACACGCTTGCTTAGGATACCGAATGAAGCGGGAATCAAATCCCAGGTCTCTCAACTCTAACATTTTTATGTGCGAATCATTTCTAGCATTATTATCATATCAGAATCATTTCTCGCCTTACGGTGAAGGAAAACATCGCGAGGAAACCTGCATGTCTGAAATAACCTAGCAAGTTTTCGAAAGATAATATGCAAAGTCCGCCAACCCGCACTTGGCCAACGTGGTGGACTAGGACCTGATCCCCCTCATATTGAAGAAAGGCCCAACCCCAGCAGTGGGACGTTAAAGAGGCACGAATACAAATAAATTATCATTAGTATATGTCAGTGTGCATCTACAATATAAGAATAGTGAGTGTGTAGTTGATAGATACTAGTCTTAAATAGGCAGAGCATCATAACTAGGCTTTAAATGTCCTGCCGCATATGTCGCCTTCCTTATATTCTTTAGCTATATTCTACATTTGTTTGTTTTGTAATATTATTAGCGCAGCATGTGCGCGAGTGTACTCCACACTATGATGTATTTATTTATCTCGTTACATTTAGGCTACCTTGGATATGCAATTGCTTCATCTCGTCTAATCTGCAAAGTGTAATTAAAAATTATTAAGTAGTATAACAAAAAGTTTTCCTTCAAATACATACACTAGCTTCGGCTTCGCCCGTGTTCAATCTATAAAAAAACTCTGGTTTTATGTTATATATATATATAATATATATATAATGTAATAATCATAAAAAGGGCTAAATACACAATGTAATCCCTTTTTATGGTCCCACTGTTGGGCACGGGCCTGCCTTCAATACGAGGGGGATCAGGGCATAGTCCACCATACTGGCGAAGTGCGGGTTGGCGGACTGCACACGTTTTTTGAAAACTTGTTAAGTTCTCTCATACGTGCAGGTTTCTTCGCGATGTTTTCCTTCACCGTAAGACAAGTTGTAATCATATATATTTATATATAGTTTGTTTGTTGTGTTGTTGAGTCTTACAATAATATAATAATGGAAATCTGCCCGATTTGTTAACATTTATGATAACTGCTCCGCTTCCTTGCGTAGTAGCATGTCTTTCGATTTGCTAAGTTTTCTTATGCATATGCAGGGATATGCCTTGTCGTGGTGGGGGTAGGAGGGAGGGGGGAGGGGGGTTAACTTATTAGTTTTCGGCAACCCAGCCGGGCGCGAAGCCAAGAAACGCATAGGGAGGCGGCCCTTCTCGGTGGGCGGTATGTCATGCTGGTTGCTCCAAGTACTTCTCTGATAGCAGAGTGGACCGTTGGAGCAACCCCATGGCTGTCGTGGACTGCTTTGGCATCCCTGCCGTCGGGGCGTCGTGGTTGAGTGCGTAAATAATCCTACGGCGCCGCATTAAGACGGAGGAGGTTTTGTTGGGTTTTAGAGGGCAGTACTGGTTTCTCTAGCCGGTAAGACCCACTAAAATTCATTTACCAATATTAAAAAAGGGTAATCATGTTGAAAAATTTTCTTACATGTAGGAAGTTAAGAAATGGTTAAGTACCTATCTACTATATATATGACTCGTAGGCGACGACGTGAGTATAATAATTATAGTTTAGGCAAATGAGTCAGTCATCACAATCGCTCAGCGTGCATGCTAAGCTTTCTCACTGAATTTGCAAATGCTAGAATTTAGATGTGTAGAGTACAATTTTATTATGATAGGTATAAAAGTATACGTAGAAAGGTAAGCTTATTATGTTTATGTATTCAATATAAAATTTAATCTTATAGCGAAATGTTAACAGTGCAATTTTTGTTAAATTAACCTGTAATACTCGTATTTTCAATACTCAGTCAGGTACGTGACGCAAGTTCACTGTCACATGTATAAACTACATATTAATGTTAATTGAAGATTTTTGTTTAATATCAAATACGGACCTCAAATATAATTAAAAGGCAATTCTTAATTTTCAACGAGGATTAAGTTTAATGATTAATTAAAGAATCTAAGAATCAATAAAATAGAAAGCACTCGAGTGTCAGCGTCAAGCAACAGCTAGTCATGTTTTCTATTCTTACGAATATATCATAGCGGTCACTATCAAATCAATCAGCTATATTTAGACTTATTTGATGTTTGTAAACATGCACCTAGTCGCTGAGTGGCTTGGGGTCGATTTAAAGAATAGAGGAAGTTCATTGTGAAGTTCAGTGGAAGCCGAGCTTGCAGCGGCCAGAAACTACGAGCTCACTGTGGCATCTACCAAGAGGCGCCCGCTGTGAGGCCTCCGCCGAGCCTCAGGCTCCAGGGCGGTTCCAGCGCGGCGCCTGCCAGACGCTCTACTTAAAGGGATTTGCCAAATTTTTGGGCAAAACAAAGAAAAGTGAACCGCGACACCGGCGTTAAGGCGGGCGTGTCTATAAAAGGCCGAGAGGGGGGTGCGCGGGGGTGGTAACACGATCCGCGAGCTCCAGCCGGCCGGCCGCCCTGGAGCGCGGGCCAGGGCAGACGAGGGCGGGCGGGGGCGGGGGGTGGCGCGGGCGGCGCGGGCAGCGGCCGTGCGCCTGCGACGCCCGCTGCCGCTCTCACTAGTCGAACGGTGCCCGACCGGTAACGTAGCGCCGACTGCCGACCGAGAGACGACCAGCGACAATGTCCGCCGTGGCGAAAACTTCCAAGTACACCTACCGCAGCAGCGGCGGTGGCACCACCGACGTCAACATCGAGTACAGCGCCGACCTGAGTGCTCTCTCCAGGCTGGAGGTACCGGCCGTGAGAATAGTGCAGTGCTTGTGAAGTGTTTTCGGACATGATAGAATATGTTGTATTTTTCAGGACAAGATTCGTCTCCTCCAAGATGATCTGGAATCCGAAAGGGAGCTACGTCAGAGGGTAAGCCTTCAAAGCGCGAAATGTGATATGTGCTCGCGCCGCGGCCATAGCGGGCGCGCCGGTGTGTGGGCGGGCGGCGCGGGGCTCGCGAGCACACCTCTATTAATACCGCCGCCCTGTTACATTCTCTTTATGCCCCTTCTTATATACTTTACATTAAATTTATAGTAAAAATTAATGACACTAATTTTATATATTTTAATTTATATTTTAACCGTTTCATACTTTCTTTAACCTTATTAATGGCTTTATTAAGTTTTAAATTTAACCCTTAATTTTTTATAAGGACATGATCTCATAATTTCATCGTAATCTAAAGTGATATAATGTACTAACCGTAAATTAATTTCGTATTATTTAATATAAATATATAAGACAATTCATAAAAAACAACCACTAAATTTTTTGAAAAAGAATAATATTTTATCGATCATAAAACAGATCATGACCAATTAATACTGTAAGCTTCCCTCTTAACCAATAAAATCCTAAGAAATCGTTAAATAACGATTATCTTCTTCATTGATACATCTACATCTGATCGAGGTCGACTTCTCATCATCGGGATTCGCATATTCTATTTTAATCTTTCGGACGGTGCGTGCGCGCCGCATCCGCGCCCGCCCGCCGCTGCGCTCTCTTGCAGACAACCAAGAGATATATTTAGCCACGTAGCACATATTCTTTGAAACCTCAACTTCTCGTTCTCCGATCTTACTTTTGAAACTGGGCCAAATGATGTTCGTTCCTGCTGAGAATGCCACAATATTGAAATATAATAATAGACTGCGGTAAAGTGGCGAAAATATCCGACTTAGTCACTGTCCTGAGATGCGACCACCCGGCTAATTATAGACGCACACAATACTGAAATATGCGAAGGACGAATTATTGAACATCGGCGTTATTACGCAACTATTATGTAAAAGCTTATATTACTAATCAATGTTATCATTAACTAAGTAACACGGATTTTTGATCAATTAACGGTATGAACACATCTTATCTTTTACGTTATGTTAAAGATATTCATTGAGTCACATTAACTTGTAGATACAATGAATGACTGCATTATTAACAATTTCATTAATAACTTAAAGTAATTATCACAAAATGAAAGAAAATCTCATGTAATCTGTATTTCAGATCGAAAGGGAGAAAGCAGATTTGAGCGTGCAAGTGATCCAGCTCTCGGAGAGGCTGGAGGAGGCTGAAGGCGGAGCTGAAAGTCAGGTAAACGAATCAAACTTACATACGCAAAGTAGACATCGTAATAACTATTTGTGTCTTTAAATATAATTCGTAATGAATACGATATAATCCATCAAAATTATGCTAATATTGCTGTAAAATAAAAAATATTATTGGGCATAAACATTTTATTTTAGAATTTGAAAATAGAATTTTCTATAAGAAAAATAACAGAACCATAGCAATAGAACAAACAATACGTGGAGGAGAAGGAGTTATAGAAACTTCATTCAAACTATAAAATTCCACTAGTTTTAAATTTGTTATATTTAAATATTAATAAAAATTTCAACATTTTTTTTAATTTGTATTAAATTCTCGTAGTTTAAAAGTTATTTGACACAAAAGGGACAATTTTAGTTTAGCAATTAAGAAATCATAAAGGTCATACATAATTGGATTTTATATTTTAAGAAAATGTTGCTTTTGCGAAAATATATATTATTTTTATTTTATTATTCTTGCGAAATGTTATGCTATGCGATATTTCACATTTATCTATGTATGTTTTCATTTCAGATTTGTCATATTAATAAAAACAAAATAAGGTTTTCGTACATAATACACAAAAAAACAAAATTATACTTAATTTTCGAAAAAGTTCATCCCATATATTTTTATTTATATTATAAATAATCAAAGTCAAATCTGTTCCCCATTAAATGATTTTGGGGGCACAATTTGATTAGATTTCCAATTTTTCAGTTCGAGATCAACAGAAAACGTGACACCGAGCTGACTAAGCTCCGTAAGCTTCTTGAAGATGTACACCTGGAGTCAGAGGAGACCACTCACCTGCTCAAGAGGAAGCACCAGGAGATCGTGGTCGACTTCCAGGAACAAATCGATAAACTCACCCACAGCAAATCCAGGTGAGACATACAAATTAACATTACATTGTGCTCATTATTTTATAACAGTTCGATTCTAAATATTTAGTAGTAAGTGCTGCGCGCAATTTGCGAAATATGCTTTGCGTCAAAAATGTTCATCATTTTATTTTATTTTTTTATTGTAGCACCATTATACTCGTAATAATAATTTACAATACATTTTTTGACTGCACGAACGTTTTCTTTGTCTTCAGAGTCGAGAAGGAGAAATCCAAATTCCAAGCCGAAGTGTACGAGCTGTTGGCCCAAGTGGAGAACGTGACCAAGGAAAAAATTACAATTTCCAAGACTTGCGAGAAACTCGAAATTACTATTAGTGAACTTCATGTCAAAATAGAAGAGCTGAACCGCACTATCGTCGACATCACGTCGCACAAGCAGCGTCTGTCTCAGGAGAACGTTGAGCTCATCAAGGAAGTTCAAGACCTTAAGGTACATGCAATATGATTGAATAGATTAATAAACGCTTTTATCTTAGAACTGCCACAAAAAATAAAGTTTTTTTAATTTTGAATATTACAATTTCAGGTGAACATTGAAAACGTTGTGTACCTTAGAAGCCAGCTGGCCAGCCAGCTCGAGGACGCGCGTCGTAAGATCGAGGATGACGAGAGAAGGCGCTCTCTACTTGAGGCCAACCTTCACCAGGTAAGATATGTTCGATTAAATAATAAAATAAATAATGAAATTAGGTTTCAACTAATTGATGTTTGCATTATAAAGTATTGTTAAATTATTAATATTTATATGTTATATAGGTTGAAATCGACTTGGAATCCGTCCGCGTGCAACTGGAAGAGGAATCTGAGGCTCGCTTGGACCTTGAACGCCAGTTGGTTAAGTCCAATGGTGAAGTTCAACACTGGCGATCTAAGTTTGAGGCAGAAGCCGCAGCCAGGTCTGAAGAAATTGAGGAGATTCGTCGCAAGTACTCTGTGCGCATCCAGGAGCAAGAGGAACAAATCGAAACTCTCATCGTTAAGATCAACAACGTTGAGAAGCAGAAGTCACGCCTGCAGAGCGAGGTTAGCATTAACTCAATATAAACAATACCTAAGCAATTATTATATATACACTGTACTTCTGTAGTAAAATTATTACTTATAATGATAACAATTTTAGGTTGAAGTTCTCATCATTGACTTGGAGAAGGCCAATGGAACAGCTCGCGAGCTCCAGAAGAGGACTGAACAACTTGAACGCGTCAACATTGAGATCAAGTCACGCTTGGAGGAGACAGTGCAACTATACGAGCAGAGCCAGAGGGATCTGCGCAACAAGCAAACCGAAATTCAGCGCATCAGTCACGAGCTCGACAAGACTCGCGAACAAAAGGACGCCCTTGGCCGCGAAAACAAGAAACTGGGTGGTAAGTCCCTTACATACTATAGTATAGAAGAATTAAAAAGACAATAATTGTTATTTTTTTCTTATTACATTCATTATATAATTAAGAAATATGGTAGAACCGAAAATACAAATGAGTTTTCTTTTTAAATTAAACTATCTTTTCGGATTATTTCGCGGATTTATTTTGATATTTGGTTCCCGACGTTTCAAATGCTTTACAGCATCCATGGTCACGGGAGAGACTGAGGTTTTACATGTCTTGAAGGTATAGTTGTTACAGACAGCCTACCCACAATTAACAAAATGAAAATTGCACAAATTACATTACAATATTTTTTAACTTTAAACATTTTTATAATTTTAATTATAATCGTATATGGAATATTATTTATTTAATTTTTGCTATTATTCTTATAATTATTACAATTTTAAAAATATTAATTAGTAATCTATATTTCGTGTTGCCATTATTATGTTTGTAACCATAAAGAAAAATATAAAATATAGTATTAATTTTTGAGCCATTTAATTGTTCTGTGTAATTTAAAAAGTTAAAATTAATTAAGGATAATAATTTTAATTTAGTTTGCTATTATTTAAAAACGTCGGGAACCAAAAATCTACATAAATCCGCGAAATAATCCGAAAAGATAGTTTTATTTAAAAATGTCAAACATTCGCGTAAATCTAAGAAAGAGTTTTCTTTTGTTTTCAAATATTGAAATTGTGAATAATTTTTATAGATGAGTTGCACGATGCCCGCGCCAATCTCACGGAGTTGACCCGCCGTCTTCACGAGCTCGAGATCGAGCTGCGCCGTCTTGAGAACGAGCGAGAGGAACTCACTGCTGCTTACAAGGAAGCCGAAGCTGTAAGTGCACTTTAAATAATATCTTCACAAAAAGAAATAAAGACGCCAAAATTACATACTTGTAATACTTGCAGGAGCCGTACTGATTTTAAAGTAACTTTTTGTTAGCAAAACATTTGTCAAGTTATATATACATACTAGCATTGCCCGCGGCTCCGTCCGCGTTCAGATACCGAAAATCAAATTCTTAGGTTTTACATATTAGTATACTCTTACATTGCAGTTTTTGTAATTTTTCTCAAAAATGAGATATTTTCCCATGATAAAAAGTCCTATATGTTAACCCGGGTAACCAGCTATCACCATACCAAATTTCATTAAAATCCCTCCAGTGGTTTTTCTGTGATGCAGTAACAGACAGATAGACAGACAGACAGACAAAAATTCTAAAAACTATAGATTCGGCCTCTGTGTCTATAATAATGTATATTTCAATAAGATTTTCCACAAAATATCTTATGTAGGTACAGATTCGACTTAGAATTTTATTATGTATATAGATAATGATCATATGGCATTGAAAAGACACAAGTGACTCAATCATAAAATTGATACATTATACCGTTCTTCCCACTGTGTTCTTTATTTTGGCAATAGCGTACGTTTCCTTTAAATTTATAATTATAATTTCTAAACTGCTAATGACAGAGAGTCATCTGCCAAATATAATTTTCGCCAAACTAATACTGAAATGATCGTGAATAATACTATAAGAATGCAGAGAGAGAATGTACGCGCCAGATGACACGCAACAAAGTCAAATAAATCTGATGATGATATTGCTCTATATATTACCATTGTGAGATCTCCATTAATTTGGATTGAAAGAGACAAAAACAAAATTGTAATTACAAAAATTATATACATCGACCTTTACACACATAGACGTAAAATTCATTATGTTAACGTAACTTGACTTAAATTTTATCAGTAAATTTACAATAACACTCGTATTAATTATTTAAAAATATTTTATTTGATGACATGTTTGGCTCAGTTTGTGACCCTACTTGCTGTGCCAGCGGTCGTGGGTTCGAGTCCCGCTGGGGGCATTCATTTGGGTGATGAGCACGAATGTTTGTACTCTTGTCATGTGTGTTTATATTTATAATATGTATGTATTTAAAGTTATATTTGTGTAGTGTATCAACAATAGTATATCAACTATGTGGTATCCATAACACAGGCCTCGTAGCTTACCGTGGAAATAGATGGTGCTGTGTGTTAATGTCCCAACATATTTATTATTATTTATTCCCTAACCTTGATACTTCAAATTTTCCATTCAACATCCGCAACGTTTTATGTAGAATTAATGCAAAAATTGCCCACGGAAAGTCATATTTTATAAAAGAGTCACATTATTCAACCAAAATAATAAGACCCTTATATTTTGTCGTGTCTGAAGTTATTGATTACGGAATAACTGGCTAACTTCTCTAATATGCATCAGTTGCATCATATACATAATTTGCCTGATACCTTGGCAACGTTGAGTACACGTGACGATGCTTTGAATTACTTACATAATAATTACGAGCTTAGTAACAAAAGACTAAAGTAACGATCTAATGCGATAAAAAGTTATCGATTAAAAACTATATTACCACAACATTTGAACACATACAACATAAATGTTTGTTAGATTTCATATACATACTCGTACATGTATATAGCCTTTCCGAATTTCTAAACCAATAAATATTTTTTCTTATAAAATTAAACTATTTGACAATTTTAATGTGCATATTAAAAATAGTTTTGTCTTTGACTATAAATTAGACTGATTGATGCTATTCTATCTATAGGGCCGTAAAGCCGAGGAGCAACGTGCCCAAAGGTTGGCCTCCGAGCTTGGCCAGTTCCGTCATGAGGCTGAACGCCGCCTCCAAGAGAAGGAAGAAGAAATTGAATCTATCCGGTAAGTAATATTTACGAAATTTGGACTATTGGTTGACAGTTTAACTGTTTATCCTTAGATATAAACAAATTTAGTAAATAAAAACTGAAAGGGATATACATATACACTCAATTTTAATATTAACAATTTTTTTAAACTCTTGAGAATTGACTGATTGAACTTTGATAAGTTTCATTTTAACAATTGGGTAAACGAAACTTGACTTAGTAGGAATTAATAGAGCAAAAATGCCGCATTTTTAACAGGGACAGTTAAATCTTTTTAAAGAAAGAAGAAATCTAATTAATAAATACTAATCATTTGTGGGAAAATATATTTATTATTAACTATACAATTATATAAGAGCGTATTTCAAGTATTTCTAGCTTTGCATAAATTATATTAATATAACAAATATGTCAATTAATTATAATTGTGCTTTAAAAGCACCGCACACACGCACTAAATACATAATCGAAAGACGCTTATAACAACCTGTTTTGATGTTCGGGATTAAAAATAATAATTATTTTTAATCATTTTAAAGTATAGTAACTGCAAATATAATCTAATAATATGTTTTGAATTAGTTCACTACTGCCATATAATATGTAACAAAGACACAACAAAGAAGATGAGCTTTAAATATGTGACAATGTTGTTAATTATTTCCGGAAAAACTACGTTACGTCCGTTCCTTATTTATCTTGAATTATTGGCAAGCATATTGATCAAAAATATCTTGATTTCTGATTGGTGCATCTACGCGATCGACAAATACGAACGTTGGCATCGAGACACTTTCAATCTGCACGGACGTCAGTACTGTTTCCCCCACGCAAAATACGTTTATAAGCAGATTCAATACAGCTCACTCAATATTTTTGCAACACATAACTAATTTACTTTTCGGAGCTACAACATGCCCCCAATTAAAGTTCCCGAAAGAAAGAAATGGACAAAGCCACCAACAGCCATTTATGAAAATAACTATGGTTACGGAATTAATTTTTATCAACCGATGATTGATTATATTACGGCAAAAAAAGAAGGATCACAAGTGAAACCTCCACACTTGCCATGGAGCAATGAACGAGGCCTCGAGAAATACAGATTCGACAAACCGGTGAAAACGTACTCTGACGGTGACGTATTGAAGTTATCGCAAGAAGTATCCGAGAAAGCTAAACGTGATCTTAATACTTTGAATGTTGGAAGAAGGACACCATTTACAGTAGTTCAAACAGCTGCGGCTGCAAATTTAACAAAACATATGGGAGTTAAAAGTGTTTCCGTGAAAACCCGAAAGAAAAAAGTTGAAAAAGAAAATATCAGAATCGAACGACATTCGAGGAGAGATGAATTAGAAAAATCTCTTGACTTGTATAATGCACAATTAAACGTAGGAGCTGAATTAAAAGGTAAAGCCAAAGTATACCGTGGAAAATCAGCTAAAGCAATTGCCCAAACTTTGTTAGAGGAAACTAGAAATAATGTAGCGGAAGGGAAAATTAAAAGACTTGATATCAATATGGAAAAGTTCGGTGTCAGTGATGCTGTTGGCAACATATCAAAAAATATTGTTTTGAAATCGTCAGATTCAAAATCAAGAATTGATTATGAAAATAAATTAGATGAAATAGCAGCGATTGCTATGAAAACTCCAAAAGTGTGTGTTGTGCAAATCCAAACTGAAATCCCCACAATAAATACTGAATATGTACAAAAAATAAACGAATTAAAAGAAACTATTAATCAGTTTGAACAATTGAATACTAGTTTGCTATTTGACCAAAGGTAATAATATAAATACGGTTACGGTTCTTTCTTATGAACTAAAGGAACGTTTCTTACCACGATATTGCAAAATAATATGTAAAATAATAGTAAAATAATACTACTAATAATAAACAGTTCAGTTTGTTATTACGTGAAATATAATGGTTAATTTTCTTGTCAACAGCAAGCAAACCAGCATCGAAATCGAGCAGTTGAATGCTCGTGTTGTGGAAGCTGAAACCAAGCTGAAGACCGAAGTTACTCGTATCAAGAAGAAGCTGCAAATTCAAATCACAGAGCTGGAGCTGTCCCTTGACGTTGCTAACAAGACTAACATCGACCTTCAGAAGACCATTAAGAAACAATCTCTGCAGGTAAGCAAACAGCTAAAAACTAAAAAATTCATAACCTTTGATTCAGAATTACAAAAATATTTAAATTATAAAGTGGTTTCCAAAGTTTTAATTCAAATTATTCAATTATAAAGTTAGCAATTAACCTAATCTAATTACATTATCGACAGCTCACCGAGATCCAATCACACTACGATGAGGTCCAGAGGCAATTACAAGTAACTCTCGACCAGTATGGCGTCGCTCAACGCAGAATCCAGTCGCTCACTGGCGAAGTTGAAGAGATCCGTGGCAACTACGAACAGGTTATTACGTGTTCATATTGAAAATATATTATTAAAATTGTATAACATAGATGTCGTATCCTAAATATTTCAAACCGACAACCTTAATATAAAATTTCCTTTATTTTCTGTAGGCCCTCCGTGCCAAGCGTTCCGTCGAACAGTCCTTCGAGGAAGCGCAGACTCGCATCAATGAGTTGACCGTCATCAATGTGAACTTGTCAAGCAGCAAGGCCAAGATCGAGCAGGAACTCGGCGCTGTCGCCGCTGACTACGATGAGATCACCAAGGAGCTCCGCATTGCCGATGAGAGATACCAACGCGTCCAGGCAAGCAAAAAATAAAAAATCCATTTGTACAAAACCTTAAAAACTTTCAAAAATCAAATTACGAAATTTATATTAATACAAGCGCCACTTAATTCCTTATTAAATTAGTATAGTTATTGTCTTACCACAAATTATGACTTTTTCAGACTGAGCTGAAACACACCGTTGAAATCTTGCACGAGGAACAAGAAAGGATTGTAAAGATTGAAGCTGTCAAGAAGTCTCTCGAAATTGAAGTCAAAGTAACTAATCTATACATTAAATGTTATCCTCGTAATTAGACTTAATGTTTTTGGATATATATTTATGATTTTTGTTATTCATTTTACAGAACTTATCTGTCCGTTTGGAGGAAGTTGAAGCTAATGCAATTGTTGGTGGCAGACGTATCATTAGCAAACTGGAGGCTCGCATCAAGGATATGGAATTGGAGATGGATGAAGAGAAGAGAAGACATGCTGAGACCATTAAGATCCTCCGTAAGAAGGAGCGTCAGGTCAAGGAAATCATGATCCAATGCGAGGAAGACCAGAAAAACATCTCCCTCCTCCAAGATTCTTTGGAGAAAGTAACCCAGAAGGTTTCTATCTACAAGAGGCAGTTGTCAGAGCAGGTTAATCTTATTTAATTTTTTAGTTTATAGATCAAGAACATTTTTTATTCACACAAACATTTTGTGTCTAAATCTTAAAATACTTTTCAGCAAACAACATTATAATAGTACTAACATATAATATTCTTATCGATAGGAGGGCGTATCCCAGCAGAGCGTAACGCGGGTACGACGATTCCAGCGCGAACTGGAAGCTGCAGAGGACCGTGCCGACGTCGCTGAGAGTAATTTGTCACTCATCCGCGCGAAGCACCGCACCTTTGTCACCACCTCCACCGTGCCCGGCTCCCAGGTCTACCTGGTCCAGGAGTCCCGCGCCCTCAGCTCGGAATGAACCCACACCCCACCCCGTACCAGCATTTCTTACCACCAAACATAAGGGGCAATTCCGGTCGGGTATTAACCTAGTCGTTCGTTAAGTGATGTTTGAGTTCCGATAGATGCCTCCAGTGGCCGACCACTGGCGGCGTCTAACCGCCGGAGTTCGGGACGGTCGTTTGCGGCGCGGTACGCCCTAGCTGTGTCTCAGTACAGCCGCTCGGCGACCGACCGTCCCCTAACACTTTGTATGCTAAATCATTAATAAAGGAACCAAAAACTCAGTAAGCTCTTTTTATTCTAATTTAAGGTCACCGTTTCGTTATACCGTAATTTAGGTGCAGTAGTTTAAAGTAAAGAATTATTTTATAATTATTTATTATTATATGTGAAACGCATTATGTACGTTTGTAACTTATAATTAAAAATAAATGCTATTTATGTTACAGACTTAAACAAAAAAGGCAATAAAAATTCTAAAACAAAATGGGTTTTTATTTTAAAGTTCAATAATTTCATAATACTTTAACACACTATACAATTTTTAAAGATATTATAAGTAAAACGAAATGTTATAATATAAAATACGGAATTTTAGATGTGTCACAGAATAAAAGTTGAACTTACAAGTCCCTCACTAAAAGAAACATTCCCTGGGCTCTTAGACAGAAACTGTATATATGCTAACTTTTTTCTCGTACTGGTATAAATGAAGACAGATCATAGAATGATTACACAGATTTATTTCGCCACTGAAATTAGCTTCTATTTAATTTGAAAACTGCTAAACTGCCTTAAATAATGGAAAAGTCTCGTGACGAGTTTAGAACACGTAACGGAAAACTGCGCGTCAATCTTTGTCTACCTTAATAATTTTTAAGCTAGCTCGCGCTAAAACTACAAAAAAACCTCTTTGGCTTTTCGATATTAGTAATAATGTATGGAAGTTTGCCAGATTTGTTGACATTTATGATAATTATTGCTCCGCTTCCCTGCGTAGTTACTACGCATGATGATATAAACAATAAACCATCGGATGAACAATCGGATGAGATTATCGCGTTTAATCAATCAAACAAACAAACTTAATCTTACAATTAGTATAGATTAGTTCAAATATTATAAGTTACACAACAGGGATTTAAAATAGATTTTTTTTTTTATAAAAAATCAAAAAATCTGATTACATATAATGCGAATTGAATAGATGAAAATAAGATCAAGATTTTTATACGCATAATTCATTGTTTGAGTCTTTCTATTTTAGCCATTGTACACTGTTTAATTTTAGTGTATGTTTTTTTGTATGTAACGCGATAATTTCGCCGATAACATAATGAAAGAACATTTATCCCTATAAGATTTGTCACGGGATCATCAAGGAAATGCATAACTAAAGAATTACTATTAATTATTATTTATAGTTAACAAAATCTTTATGATTTTCGCAATTCTTATTATATCTTTTTAGCTGAAAAGTAATTATTAAACAGATTAAAATAATATGTTGGGATATTAACACACAACACCATCTAGTTCCATGGTAAGCTACGAGGCTTGTGTTATGGATACCATATAGTTGATACACTACACATATTATATAATTTTAAATTCATACATATTATAAATACAAACATCCATGACTGGAGTACAAACATTCGTGTACATCAGACAAATGAGTGCCCCCAACGGGATTCGTACCCACGACCATTGGCACAGCAGGTAGAGACACTACAAACTGAGCCAAACGTGTCGTCAAAATAAAAAGACTGGTCTACATTACCATAAAAATTATTATATTATTAACAAATAAGGAAACATTAATATATATACATGCACTTTGAACTTTTTACAAAATTATATTAATATACTATCATTGCCCGCGGCTCCGCCCGCGTTCAGATGACCAAAAACCTAATTCTTAGGCTTTACATATTAGTATACTCTTACAATGCGGTTTTTTAATTTTTTCTCAGAAATAAGATATTTTCCCGCGGTAAAAAGTATTCTATATGTTATTTATTTATTTATTTATTTATTAGATTCACATTTATTTGTTAGTTACAATAATACAATTTATTTTATACAAGTACAATTATTTTAAGTTTTTATAGCTAATTGCACTACCTTTTAAGGTGAATACCACATGCAAATTTTGAGATTTTATAAAATGTTAATATTATATCTATTTTACAGTACTAAAATTACTATTATAAGATATTAAATTAAATAAATAATAAAATACACTCACACAATTAAATAACACACAAAAATGGAAAAAGATTACAATTCGAATAAAAAAAAAAAAAAAAAACCAGGAAGAACCACAAAATAAATTATAGGTATTTTTTTACTTTATTTTGGAACATAGGCAGCGTGTCTCCGAATGGATCCAAGGTGCTATGATTATTTATAATATTACAAAAACGTGACAAGGGAGAGTGATTACCTAAAACAGATCTGCGAGAAGGTGTTACGAGAATGCTGATCGGCTTTCGTGGACACCTAGGCACTTTTAGATTAAAAGATGATATTAGTGATGGATTGTCATATATACTGTTAATAGTTTTATATAAGAAACTTAAATCCAATATATCTCTTCTTTTTTCTAGACTAAACATCTTAAAATACGTAAGCCTTTCTGTATAAGTTGCAAGTGATCTAGATTTGCCCAGTGAGAAAGCCAGATGATATAAAAAACGCTTTTGGAGCCTTTCAATTCTCAAACAGTGGGTAGCATAATGGGGTCTCCAGACAACACTTCCATACTCCAAAATACTCAAAACTAAGCTTTTATATAGAGTAATTTTTGTTCGAATATTTTTAAATACCTTACAATTTCTGATTACGAACCCTAACATTTTACTTGCCTTACTGACAATACTATCTATATGTGGTACAAAAGTAAGTTTTTTGTCAAATAGAATACCTAAATCTCTGATAATATCTACTGTACTCAAAGGCATGTCATTCAAATAATATTTTGTACTTATATTTGTTTTTTTCTTCGTAAAGGTTATGTGGAAACACTTACTTGAGTTCAATATCATACCATTTAGCTTACACCAATTATGCAAGCTAGTCAAATCCTTCTGTAATGAATTAATATCATTAGGATTATTGATAGTTTTAAGAAGTTTGAGGTCATCTGCAAACATAAATGGCGTGGAGCAAGAGAAGCAATTTGGCAAGTCGTTTATAAAGATATTAAACAGGAGAGGACCTAAATGCGATCCTTGGGGTACTCCAGAAGTAATGCTGCATTTTATAGATTCGAACCCATTAGCCACGACGTAGAAATGTCTGCCAGTTAGGTACGATTTCAGCCAATTCAGCATGGAATTAACAACGCCATAAACGGATAGTTTGTAGAGTAGTATAGAAATAGGTACTAGGTCAAAGGCTTTACTCAAATCAGTTGACCCGGATAACCAGCTATCATCATACCAAATTTCATCAAAATCTGTCCAGTGGTTTTCACGTGATGCGGTAACAGACAGACAGACAGAGAGACAGCCAAAATTTTTAAAAACTATAGTTTCGGACTCTGTATCGATAATAATGTATATTTCAATAAGATTTTCCAAAAAATATTAAATTTACAGATTCGACTTAGTTACAATTTTATTATATGTATAGATTTATACCTGAATAGTTAGTATATAATATTCAATCAACCTGTCATGTTAGAAATAGGCTGCAAGTGGGCGAATCGAACATGGATAAGACGTAATTGGATTAGAAGGTACAATACTTGGCCTCGCGACTCGCTGGAGTATAGTGTCATCTACGCAATTTGGCTCATCAGAAACAATTATTTATGAATTATGTTATTATTTATAAATAATTCAGTTACAATTATGTTCTATTTTTATTACATTAGTCATAAAAGTTAGTGTCTTTTAATTGTATTTAAAACTACTTAGCCTTGCTTCGCTCGGGTACGTCCCTGGTGCCTGACAGTAGCCTTTATGTTCTTTGATGTAGTGTAAGGGCTCATTAGTATCCGGAAGTCCAGCCGGGTGCGAAGCCATGAAGCGCAATTGGGAGGTTACCCATCTCAATGGTGTACCATGCAGGTTGCTCTTAGTACTTCTCAGATATGAGAGTGGTCCGTGGGAGCAATATTTTGGTTGTTGAGGTCTGCCTCTACAGGACAGCCGTCAAGCCATTGTGGTTAAGTGCGTAAACGATCCCGTGATACCCTATAGATATCCTCTGTACCCTTAAGAGAGTACTGGCTTTTCTGGCTCGTGAGTCATACATAAAAATTGCCCAATAATAATAAAAAGAAAATAATTTATCTGTATATCAAATTTTCGATTCAAACATATTACATTTACACTTCCGAAGTTTAACATTTGTAATAGTAATTTCCAAGTCATTCACAAATCGTTACGACGACGATGACACGCTTGGCTCAGTTTGTAGTAACCTTACTTGCTGTACCAGCGGTCGCGGGTTCGAGTCCCACTAGGTCATATACGTGTATGTATTTAAAGTTATATATATGTAATGTATCAACTGTCTGGTATCCATAACACAAGCCTCGTAGCTTATCAAGACTAGATGCTGATGTGTGTTAATGTCCGAACGTATTTAATATTTCTTCAGACTTTTTTGCCACATATACTTGTTATATGTTGATAATATTACAATTAGAAAATTATTCTATAAGTGACTTAGTTTCTTGTAAAGTATAGGTACGTGTAGTAGTAGTTCAAGCTTTCAAATTCAAAATATTTTATTCAGCATTAAATTATTACATTTTTTTGCTGAACGTCACGAGTCTACTACCAGTTCGGAAAGAAGAAGCCTCAGACCTGAGAAGAACTGGCGAAAGAAACTCAGCGGGACTAATATTAACTTGTTACCTTTTTTTAAAGTAAAATTATAATTCACAATATTTCTATCAAGTTGAAGTAGCCTGGAGGCGATCACTTTATTCCCAAGGTGTGCCATCTTCTATCAAATCATTTATTGTATAATAGCCGTTAACGTACGTTAACATTT